GCCGTTGAAACGGTGAATGTTGAATGGGGTGAAACCCTGGAGACTGAAGCCGCGGGAGATGTGGTTAAGGAGGCTCCTGCTTCTCAGGAAGTTGGAGCTACCTCTACTTTTCCTTCCCAACACGGCTTGGACAAGATCGTGGACACTACTCCCGAGGTTCCCTTTATTAATGAAAGTTGAAGTTCTTCTAAAAGGTATTGAAGTTTTTTCTTTTTTGTTTTGATATACTGTGGCTCGGTCCCCTTGACGAACTTTCTTTCTGTACTTGCCAAGACAATTTTTCTTTTCTCTTTTCTTTTCTTTGTTGCTGGTTATGAGGCCATCTGTGCCTTTTGTTGGATGATAGGATTTTCTTTTTGAACTTGCAATCTGATGTTGTTTGGCTTTTATGTCTGAATGTTTTCTATACTGCTTGCCCTCAGCCGAGCACTGTTGGGGCCTCCGGGCCGAATAGATGCTTGGTCTGGTTCTGTAATGCTTGAAATAGATGCTCTGTCTAATTCTGTACTACTTGCCCCCGACCGAGCACTGTTGGGGCCGAGGTGCCAAACAGATGCTCAGTGTGGCTAACGAACATGTGGTATGACTGTGCTTGAGTTCGTAAGAGGGTCTTACTTAGGTCCAGGTTGGTTAAAAAAAAAATAATTGTTTGCCCCCACCTGGAGCTAAGTAAGATTGGTACTGAAGATTATGCTCTTAGGTAGAACTGCTTTAGTCTATTTCAACTTTGACAGCACAGATGCATTTGAATGGATAAAGGCATGGAGAGGTGTCTTACTCAGGTCTAGGTTGGTTTAAAAAAAAAACAATTGTTTGCCCCCACCTGGAGCTAGGTAAGATTGGTACTGAAGATTATGCTCTTAGGTAGAACTGCTCTAGTCTGTTTCAACTTTGACAGCACAGATGCATTTGAATGGATAAAGGCATGGAGAGGTGTCTTACTCAGGTCCAGGTTGGTTTGAAAAAAAAACAATTGTTTGCCCCCACCTGTAGTTGAGTAAGACTAATGCTGGAAGTTTGCTACTAACAGAGCTTGGTTACGTTTGTTCCAACTCTGTTTGTTTGCATTAGTACTGAAGTGTTGATGAGTTGATACTTAAGGAATTCTGTGGATTCAAAGATGTTTACTTAAGATATGTTAGTGTGGTTTCCACCAAGCAATTGCACTTGGCTAAAGTGCAATTTAGTTGCCAAACATTATTCCACCAAGCAATACCACTTGGCATATTTGAGTGCTAACCAAATTTAAATTCCGTCCAGTTGTTTTGAAACTAAGTCCATTTGGGTTAAAACCAAAGTTAAGTCCGTTTGATAAACATCAAAGCTAATTCCGTTTAGTAAGAACCAAAGCTAATTCCGTTTGATAAACATCGAAGCTAATTCCGTTTGGTGAGAACCAAAGCTTATTCCGTTTGATAAACATCAAAGCTAATTACAAGAATTTGATAAATTTGAGAGAAGTGGGAAAGCATTTGCATTGGACAACAGGTAAATGTCTTTACATTCTGATAGAGAAGTTGGGGGATAATTTTATTGATAGTATTTTTTGAGATTCGCTACCTTCTAGGACCGAGGTACAGCTCTGCCTTTCAGATCCTCTAGGTAGTAAGCTCCATTTCCGACAACAAATGTGACTTTGTACGGACCCTCCCAGTTAGGCCCAAGTTTTCCCTCGCCAGGCACCCTTTTGTGATCCATAACTTTCCTCAGAACCAGTTCTCCAGGTGTAAATTGCCTCGGGAAAACTTTATGGTTGAAACTCTTGGTGAGCTGCTACTGATACGCTACAAGTCTGATCAGTGTTGCTTCTCATCGGCCCTTTGCCATATCCAGTGCTTGGGCAATAGCTTCCTCATTACTGGTGCTTTCAAACAATGCAGACCGAAGGGTTGGGAGACCTACTTCGAGTGGGATGATGGCCTCCATTCCATAAGTTAGGAAGTAAGGTGTTTCCCCCGTTGAACGCCGTGATGTGGTTCGGTAGGCCCATAATACGTGGGGTAACTCTTCAATCCATTTGCCTTTTGCATGTTCAAGTCGTTTCTTTACTCCATTGATGATGATTTTGTTTGATGCTTCTGCCTGTCCATTACACTGTGGGTACCTTGGAGAAGAGTTCTGATACTCGATCCTGAGGTTGGCACAAAACTTTCTAAAGATCTTACCATCGAACTGTGTTCCATTATCCGCAATTAGTATCCCCGGGATGCCGAAACGCACACCACGTTTCTCATGACAAACCGCTTCGTGTCCGCTTCTTTGATACTTGCTAGCGCCCCGACTTTAACCCACTTAGTGAAATAGTCGGTTGCAGCAATGAAGAATTGCCTATTCCTAGTGCCTCGCGCCAATGGTCCGACAATATCCAGACCCCATTACGCAAAGGGCCATGCGCTTGTGAGTGAAGTGAGAGTTTTGGCTGGCTGATGAATGAGTGAAGCAAACCTCTGACATTTATCACACTTCTGTATGTACTGCTACGCATCTTGTTGCATCCGTGGCCACCAATACCCGTGAGTGAGGGCTCGGTGTGCCAGTGACCTTCCGCCAACGTGGTATCCACAAATCCCATCGTGAATTTCGTAGAAAACATTCTCGACCAAATTTGGATGCAGACATAGAAGATAAGGGCCAAGATAGGAGCATTTGTACAGTTTCCCAGATGGTGAGATCCAAAATCGAGCTGACCTGTGTCTGACTTTGTTGGCTTCCCTTTTGTCTTTGGGGAGAGTACCAGATTTCAGAAAAGCAAGTATTGGATCCATCTAGCTCGGCTCTAAGTTGTTGCAGAGGACTGGAGATGCAATACTTGGTTCTGGCACAAACTCAACCCAAACTTTTCTAGCATCCTTTGTATCCACTGATGAGCTGAGGCAAGCTAGAGCATCAGCGTGGCTGTTTTTGTCCCGACTGATTCGTTCCACTCGTGTGGATTGAAACTTTTTGAGTAGGTCCTTGGCCTTGCCTGCGTACATAGCCATTCTTTCATCTCGTGTTTCATAGACCCCAGAAAGCTGGTTTACCACTAGTTGTGAATCACTAAAAATAAGAAGCTGTTCTGCACTGAAGTGTTCGGCACTACGTAAGCCAGCCAATAACGCTTCGTACTCTACCTCGTTGTTTGAGGCCTTCCAAACGAGCCTGAGATCTTGTTCCTAGATAAATCCTTTTGGTGAGATAAGTACTACTCCTGCCCTCGAGCCTCGGTTATTGGACGACCTGTCAACATAAAGCTGCCAGATGTTTCCAATAAAGAGTTTCCATGCTTCTGAAGCGCAGGGCTTTCCCTGTTCGGTGATGCGTGGCATCTGTGCCAAACTAGGATTTCCCGATTTGGTACACTGGGTGGGAGTAAATTCTGCGACGAAATTCGCTAAGACCTGGGCCTTGATTGCCGTCCTGGGTTGATAGCGAATGTCAAACTCACCAAGTTCTACCTCCCATTTCGCTGTTCGGCCAGAGAAATCAGCTCGACTAAACACAGATCTAAGGGGGAATTCAGTGAGAACGTTAATGGTATACCCCTGGAAGTAATGTTGCAACTTTCTTGAGGCGATAAGCAGCGCGTAAGCTAACTTTTCGAATGGTAGATACCGCATCTCGGCATCTAGTAGAGTCTTGCTAACATAGTATACAGGCCTCTGTTCCTTGTTAACTTCTCGAATTAATACTGCGCTTACGGCATGATCCGAGACTGCTAGATAGAGGTACAACTCATCTCCTGGTTTTGGAGTGGACAGTAGAAGAGGTGTGCTGAGGTATCTTTTGAGACTTTGTAGTGCTTCGGTACACTCGCAACTCCATTCAAATGCTGCACTTTTCCTCAAAAGCTAGAAGAAGGGCTTCATCCGATCTGAAGATTTGCTGATGAACCGATTCAGTGCGGCCGCCATTCTGGCCAGTTTCTGCAGCTCTTTGGCCTTTGTTGGTACTTCAAGATCTTGTATTGCTTTTATTTGGCCCGGATTTGCCTCGATTCCTCTGTGAGTGACCATATATCCCAAGAACTTCCCTGTTCCTACCCCGAAGGCACATTTCGAGGCATTGAGGCGAAGCTGATGGTTTTTCAGGATGCCAAAAACTTCTCTCAAGTCTGTAAGGTGGTCTGTAGCGAGCTTGCTTTTTACTACCATATCATCAATATAAGCTTCCATGGTTTTTCCCAGTTGGTCCTTGAACATCCGAGTGATCATCCGCTGGTAGGTTACCCGGGCATTCTTGAGGCCGAATGGCATCACTTTGTAGCAATAAGTTCCTCTCAGAGTGATAAAAGCTATCTTTTCTTGATTCGAACCGAACAGTGGTATCTGATGATAGCCGCTATAAGCATCCAAAAAGCTCATGCGCTCTTGTCCTGCTGTTGAGTCTACTAGTTGATCAATGTGAGGCAACAGAAAGCTATATTTAGAGCAGGCTTTGCTCAAGCAAGTGAAATCGGCGCAAACTCTCCATTTTCCGTTCTTCTTCTTGACTACAACTGTGTTGGATAGCCATTACGGGTACTGAACTTCTCTGATTGCTCTTGATGCCAGGAGTTTTTCAACTTCGGCAATTACTGCTTCAGTGTGCTCAATGGAGGATCTCCGACTCTTCTGTACAACGGGCCGAGCAAAAGGGTAGATGTTGAGCTTGTGGCAAGCAAATTCGGGGTCCAACCCTGGAGTATCATATGTTGACCATGTGAATACCTCCATATTTTCCCTCAGCAATTCCAGCAGCTGAAGTTTCTCATCAGCGCCTAGCGAGGTACTGATAAGGAAGTACTTTTCTGGATCATCTTCTTTTACCAGGACTTTCTCCAAATCTTCTACTATCTTTTCCTCTGGGGCTCCCCCTACAATTTCCAAGACCGGCTGTTCGGCCACTTCCACTGTCTGTACCCGATTGCAGAGTTGCTTTGCCTTTACTGCTGCCATGAAGTAATGTTTGGACGCAACTTGATCCCCTGAGATCTGCTCTACTCCGTGTTCCATTGGGAAACAGATGAGCAGGTGGTAGGTTTAAGGGACCGCCTCCATTTGATGAATCCATGGACGGCCAAGCATGGCGTTGTAAGGGGATGGTATATTAATAACTAGGAACTTTATCTGGAGGATTTTTGTTCCTGCCATGACTGGCAACACTATTCTGCCAAGCGGCCATTCTGGCTGTGAATTGAAGCCAACCAACGGGGCTGCCGCTAGGGTGAGGTGCTGCTCGGAGAGACCAAGCTTTTTGAACAAGTCATAATACAAAATGTCTGCTGCACTACCTTGATCTACCAGGACTCGTTTTATATCAAATCGTCTTCCAATTCCCACAGTTATAATCAGTGCATCAATATGTGGGTGCTGTATGCCTTCTAAATCCTTTCAGTAAATGAAACAGCGCACAAGGGGGATTTGGGTGCCGTGCGTACCTTTTTCGACGCAGGCTCTACTGACATGACTTGTTGGATTTGCACAGCCTTAGCAATCTCTTCTCTCAGTGTCTCTTCCGGTTCCTGAGTCGCTGCCCCATGGATCACATTTATTATCAACCGAGGTGGATGCTCAATATTTGGTTCTGGTGGTGGGTTCCCCGGTTCGGTCACTTCCTCATCCTGATCAATGTAATCCTGGAGGTGTCCAGATGCTACCAAGTCCTCCAAGTGTTGTTTCAGTGCCCTGCAGTTCTGAGTCATATGCCCCCTGTCTTGATTGTAGGTGCATCTGAGCTTCTGATTGCACCAAGCCGGATCTCCCAACATTTTCGATGGCCAGACAAAAAAGGGCTCTCTCTTGATTTTTTCTAGGATTCGATAGATTGGCTCTTTGAATACAGTCACGACGGCTTCGTGGGATTTGGACTTATCCACTTCGTTCATTGCGATCCCTTTGTGTTCTCCTCGATCTGTTCTCTTCTTATGCCGAGCTGTTTGTTCTTGTGGAGAAGTGGTTTGGAAATACTCTTCGGATCCTAGGAGACGCTAGTGATTCTCAGCTAGTCACTTGAAAAGATGCAAACACTCCGGTCGGGGGTGCCAGAATTAGCACTCCGACGGACAAGTTAGTTCAGACACTCAGGATAGCTTCTTTACTAAGTTTTGTAAAGTGATTCTTACATACCTTTCTACAACCGTTGTTCCTGTAATTATACCTATTTTTTTTTTATCCTCGGGGCTAGGGCCTACTTTTTAATCATTGTCCTTCCTTTTATTCGGCCCTAAGGACTTACACTTATTCGGCACATATATTATATTCGGCTCTCCACTCTCGTAGGATATAGTCGGTTAATATTAGTCTTCCAATGGTACGCACCATCTGATTTTTCCATGTATTCGGCCCCCACAATTGCCCCTTAAACTCCCCATTGACGGAAGTTAATCGGCATGTTTGGTCTTGAATTGGAAAGGTTAAAATAGGATAGGCAGCTTCACGTACCCCAATATAGATGTCAGGATGCGCACACCTTTTCGTTCATCATTACGCTTTCCCGCCTCAATCGCGCGTCTCGCATTTATTGTGATTTGAAATTTAAGTCCTTTCGAATGCACAGTTCATCGAGTATTCGAGACTCTTGGACCGCCAGCAGATATTCCTTCTCTGACTCGCATTCTCTGCAACTTTTCTCCGTCTACCCTCGTCTCCCTTGCTCCTTGTAAGTCTTTTTCACTTTTCTTTGCAATCTTACTTTTTGTTTGTTATTTTCATTTTGGTGAACCCTTTATTCCCTGTGAAAATGGCCAAACACTTGAAAGACCTCCTTTCTGAGGGTCATGTCTCCGGACTCCGGCGACACTTTTCCATCCCCGACGATGTTCATCTATCTCTAGTGACGGACAACACTCTAGATATGGAGAGAGAGGATCAAAATTTAATCGTCTTTCCTCTCCTATCCATTGCAGAGGGCGGGGTTCGCTTTCCCCTACATCCGTTCCTTAGGGCCGTCCTCCGCTATTGGGGTCTTTTTGAAAAATGGGTGTAGAATTATGATTTGAAAAATGGGATTCCGGCCATTCGGCACTGCTATGCTTTAGCCAAATCTTCCAGTCGGCTTGGGCGGTACTTTCTTAGGGCCAAAGATATTGACCATCATTTGGTAACCATGCTCGCCAGTTCTGGCAAGCGTGTGGATGACGTAATGGTCAATATCCGAGGGAACTGGGAATTTGGCGACGGCGAGGATCGCCTAGACCCTATTTCCAGACGGAGGGGTAAACTAGGTTGCCGTGTGCCTCCTTGTGTTTACTGAACTTTTCTTTTACTTAGCTTTCCCCTGGTGTCTAACCCTTTGGCTTTGTGGGAAGTAATTTGAAGAAGATTCTGGTTTCTACCGACAACGTGGTCCTTGCGTAGGTTGCGATTTCACTCGGATGCTTCGGCCGTCCAAACTTACAGAAGCAAGGGAGAGCGGCCCACATACTTCTTCAATACGAGCCTACTTACACTACTTTTTCGGCCGCTGACAATATTCCAGTTCTATCCGGCGATCGACAGCTTGCGGCTCTTATCTTCCCTAGTTTCAAGAGTCTCAGACAAGTTGGTCTCGAAGCCTCTGACTCGGGGCAAGACGTCGAGCCGATGGTGGAGGTAGTCGCCGAACCAGACAGAGAGTTCGCTGAAGAGGCCGAAGAGGTTGACGAGGCCCTAAACTCGGCGTTTGAGGCAGCCAGACGTAGTCAGCCTACCTCGCCGTCCACTTCGGGTCGGGCGGAGTTTTCTTCTGGAGATATTTTTACCAGACGTAGTCAGCCTACCTCGCCGTCCACTTCAGGTCGGGCGGAGTTTTCTTTTGGAGATATTTTTTGAGGTTTGGGAGACTTACCCGGCAATTTTTTTGAAGGTATGGCTGGGGAAAGCCTCATGCAGATGGCTCGAAAGAAAAATGCCGAGCGTATGGCCGCCCGAAAAAAGGCCAAGGCCGCCTGTTCTGGACCTGCCTTGGTTGAGTCTTCCAAACCCGTTATTGAAGAGCCGACTAAGATTGTTGCGGCCGAAACGGCGAAAGAGGTTGAACAACCGGTCATTGATGAACGGTTGATTCCGGAAGATCGGGGCAAGAAGCGTAGCGCCGAGGGAGAGGCCAGTTCAGAAGATAGTCTTGCCGACAAAAGGCCTCACTTAGAAGAATCGGACGTGGTTGTTCCTTTTATTGTTCAGCCAAAGATTAGAGACACGCCGATTCCTTCTGACGCATCCATCATTACCGACCCGGTAGTAGCCTTGAGCCTGGCGGCATCAGTCTCTCTACCAGCTGATAAGGCATCCTTTCATGCCGTGCCGGATTTGGTAGCCATAGCCCTATCTGCGCAGTCGGCCCTTTTAGTAGGTGAACTTTGACTTGTTTTGATTTTGGTTGCCTATGGCATCTAACGATCCCAACTCGTTTTGCAGACTGTCGGCAGGATCGCCGACTTGGGCTGCTGCCTACACGATGCCCTTGAGAGGATTGACCGATTGCAGTCAGATGTGGTCGATCAAAAGAGCATGGCCGAGTTTGAGATGATGAGGGCCGCTATGGAGACTGCGCGAGCTGAAGTCAAAGTGGAAAGGGCTCAGCCTGCCGATCAGTACCGTTCTGATGCCAAAGATAGGGTGAAAGCGAGCAAAGAATCGCTTAGGCTAGCCGAGGAGGCGCTTAACAGGATGGAGACTGAGTTAGCAGAGTTGAAGGCGGCCAAGGAAAAGGAAGAATCTGAGGCTTCTGCCACATTCAAAGCAGGAAAAGGCGCCGCCTTCAAAGAATACGTAGATGAAGTCCCCAAGTTCCAGAATCAAGGGTTCAAACACGGATGGCTCAAGGCCCTTGATGCCGCTAGGGTTATATTGGCCTTGCCAATTCTTTATGAGCAGGTGGACGTTGAGCCACTTGAGTCTGACCCCGAGGATTGATCTGGGAGTCTTTCGAATTTTATGAAATACTTTCCCTTTTAATGTATGTTTTTGTTTTTAGGACTTTTGTTGGTTCCGAGTAGTTTTCATGTATAAATTGGCTACTGTCTGCGTTCAATTTATTAATGAAAATTATTTTCTTGTTTCACTACTAATGCGTAGTTTGTGATGTTATGTTGGTATAGAATGCTTGCCGTTCGCTACTTTAGTTAGAATGACTACTCTGTTGACCTTTCTATGATTGAATATCATGGCAATCTTATCATTCGTATGCCGAATAGTTCGTTGGTATTATGCTAAAACGATTTATGGGCTGGCTGGGGCATTTAATCTAAATAGATTGATTATTCTGCCCTTGCCCCAGGCGGCGCATGATCATTCGGGGGCCGGAGGAGGCGAACTTAGTTTTATTGTCGATTCATGGGTCGGCTGGGGCACTTAAGCCGAATGTATTGATAAATCTATCACGCCCTTGCCCCAGGCGGCGCATGATCATTCTAAAGTCGATTCGTGAGCCGACTGGGGCACCTAAGCTGAATAGATTGATTAATCTGCCCTTGCCCCAGGCGGTGCATGATCATTCGGGTGCCGGAGGAGGCAAACTTAGTTTTGTTGTCGATTCATGGGCCGGCTGGGGCACTTAAGCCGAATGTATTGATAAATCTATCGCGCCCTTGCCCCCGGCGGCGCATGATAATTCTGAAGTCGATTCATGAGCCGGCTGGGGCACCTAAGGCGAATAGATTGATTAATCTATCACGCCCTTGCCCCAGGCGGTGCATGATCATTCGGGTACCGGAGGAGGCGAACTTAGTTTTGTTGTCGATTCATGGGCCGGCTGGGGCACTTAAGCCGAATGTATTGATAAATCTATCACGCCCTTGCCCCAGGCAGTGCATGATCATTCGGGCGCCGGCGGGTCTATCCAGTCAACGCTGGGTGATTGAGGTTTTCACAATTAATGAAATTGCCTCGAGGGTGCTGCCTCTATGAAGGATAAATGATTATGGGTACAACTTTTATGAATACAGTAAACAACTGACACCAGCTTTTGAAGGTATCGTGTGAATGTCGAACAGACTTTTCTTTAACAGCAGAGGGGAAACGATGACGCTAGCTGAGCTGGGTGAAGACATGCATTTGCTCGACAAATTTTTCCTCTTGAGGTTCAGCAATCGATGGTAGGTCATCAGGACTACGAAGTATTTCGCGAAGGCATTCACGGGGCGATGAAGGGGCTTTACACTGCCTATGAAATCGGCATGCGGTTGCGCACTGCCCGCCGGGAAATGGAGAAGAAAGAGGAACGTATTCAAAGTTTGGAGGCTCGCGCGGAGGCGGCTGAGCGCTAGTTAAGGAAGACCAAGGCGGCCTAGGCACAACCCGCCGGGCACGGAAACCTAATCGTGGAAGAAAGGGTTACCAGTCGGCTCATCAGTTCTGCGCTTGCCGATCGTGAGATGGTGAGTATGTTCGCAATGGAGAACGCGAAGAGGAGGGCCTATGAGAAAGGTTTTCATGACGGCTGAAAAGTTGGAATCGAAAAGACCAAGGAAAAACTTGCCGAAGAGGTTTGCCGATGTGAAAATCGTGGATTTAGACACGGTTGGATCAAGGCATCTCAAGCTGCAGAAGCTCTTCGAGCGTCAGGCATTGATTCGGCATCGCCACTCTACCACAGTAAACATTTTCCATTTTTTGCTTTTGAAGTCGAGAAGAGTGAGGATGAGGGTGATGCCGTATAAGTATACTTATTGTAAGGTTGAAACGCATATCGCGTTTAAAACTATGTAATATATTGCTTGTTTTATCGAATAAAAAACGTTCTATGATAAATATTTTGTTGCAGTTCGTATTTGGTGTGTATGCGTTTCGT